TTCGACATTGTATGGTTGGACGGGGAGGATCTCTTTTTGAGTGCACAAGGGTTTTTTGAACACCCGTACCCTGGTTGCACTCCAGCGTGATTGTTCTTTACAACCAGCTGTATTGTTACTTGTACTAGGGTGTGAAACACGTGGTACTGAGATATGTTCGGATTTATTTCCTGATGAACATTTTATTTTATTTTGGTTGATGTTGGACGACGATAATCCAGCCCCTTTACAATGCCCTACTTTGGGCTTGAGAGGCGATGTGGGTTTTGTCTTGCACAACATGAGGGCTACTTTGATAACTATGGCAACTCAGATACTTTCAAACGAATTTGTTTATGGTGTGGTCTACATAAAGCTTTCGTTATGATGCATGCGCCATCATTTGTACGACCATCTTAAGAATATTTTCCTTAGCGCTTTGACCAACTGTTTGCGACCCATCTTCATTAAACGTTGTTTCTTATTTTTACTTTGTTATGAATATATTGGTTCGGGTACCGATGTCGGTAGTCTTTGGCGTCCTGAATCGACTTGACTTCAATGTAACGGAGTAATGGATAGTACACTACGACAAATAGGACACGGGGTATCATCAAATCCATGACTGATTGAAATCTGAATGAAATTCTTATGGAAATTGACAGATCGATATACCTGGATCAAAAGAAGAATTTAAGAAGTCCTGAGATAGACCCGTGAGTTCAAGCTTTGGATATTTCACAAGACATCAGTAGCTCCTATCCTCGGGATTCAATTTAAACAGCTCGTCCAGATGTTCTTTAAGTTCAGCACTGAGTTTGGGCTCCTTTGTTCTTTTGGCTACAAACACGAAAATTGCCAAACTTGTTAGTACAAAAAATCACAAGTCATTAGAGAGATTCAAACTCATCATAAAACTTACAATATTCAAAAGTAATATGAACGGGAATAGTCATCTCGTCTATCAAGGGATCTCGAAAGAAGTCAAGAGATTGCCAATCGCCTCCGACCCACAACCACTCTTCCTGAAACCGTGAAGGGTATTCGGGACGTCGGTTACTAGATCACTAACTTTGAAGTCCGACTGTGGTTTACCCGCGTAGAAGAAACAACATGACACCTCTGCCAACGTATACAAACTCCTCATGTGGTCTAACGACGGAATGACCCAACCCTTTTAATTCAAAAGAACCATGAGTTCAATGACTCCCTTCCAACTATTCAGGGTGATCCGACAAAAACTCAGTCCCCATTCACGGAGGTAGTCAGTTACCATGTTAGGGAGGGGAAATCTTAAGCCTGACCTCAGGCTTTCAGCAAAAATCCCAACGCAACCGGGAAG